TCAATCTCCTGACCTCATGATCTGCCCTCCTCAGCCTCCCAAAGTGCTGGGATTACAGGCATGAATGTTTTCGTTTGTTTGTTTGGTTGGATTTTTTGAGACAGAGTCTTGCTGTCACCCGGACTGGAATGCAGTGGTGCCATCATACCTCACTAGTCTTGACCTCCTGGGCTCAAGCAATCCTCCACCCTCAGCCTCCCGAGTACATGGATTACAGGTGTGTGCCACTATACGTGGCTAATTTTTTTATTAAAAAATTTTTTTTTTGTGGAGATTGGGTCTCACTATGTTGGCCAGGCTGGCCTCAAACAATCCTCTCACCTTGGCCTCCAAAGCACTATCACAGGCATGAGCCACTGCACCCAGCCCAGAGTGGTCTTTTATAAATGTAAATCAGAGTGACTGACAGCCTGGCATAAAACCCTCCAATAGTTTTTTCATTGCACTCAGAATAAAGCTCAAATCATTATCATGGACAAAAAGGTCCTGCCTATTCTGGCTCCGGTTTACCTCTGTGAAACCACGTCTCAGAGCAATGGGCCTTTTTCACTCTGCTGGGGCCATAAGGGCCTCCGTGCTGCCCCTCTAACACATCCAACTTCAAGCTTCTGCCCCAGGACCTTTGTGCTGACTGCTCTCCAACCTGTAATGCACTTTGCTTGGGTCTTTGTTTTTTCTTTTTAGAGACGGTGTCTCCCTATGTTGCCCCCCAGCTGAAGTGCAGTGGCTGTTCACAGGCACGATCATAGTGCACTGCGGCCTCAGACCCCCCAGCTCAGGCAATCCTCCCATCTCAGCCTCCTGAGTAGCTGGAAACCATACCTGGCTTCCAGTTCTCTCACTACATTCAAGAATCTACTCAGATGTGATCACCTTACAGCTGCGTTTTCACCACTTAATCTAAAATAGCACAGCACCCCCCACAAACCTCTATTCCCCCTCCCTGAGTTCTCCGTTTCTTTACGCATTCATATCTCACATAGCTCGCATCACTACCTGACATCATATGGTTATGGTTCCCTTCCATCTAGAATGTAAACCCGATGAGGTCTGGACTTTTTCTGTTCTCCGCTGTATCTCTGACACCCGGAACAATACTCATGCACAGAGGCTATGCTGAACTCAGGCAATGATTCAGGCAATATCAGTGTGACAGGGTACTGTGGCTAAAAACCCCTTCTCCTGGGAACAAGAGAAGGCAGGAGTGGTGAGCTAAGTGGTCCATGCTGAGCCACAGGCAATGAACAAGCTTTTCCTTTAATGAGGGGGAAGTTGAAAGTGGTTATGAAAACTCAGGACAATAATCTTCTGATGTTCCTGAAACATCATCACCTTAGCAGTGATTCATAACCCCTCTTCTGCTTCTATACAATAACATCTTTCTAACTTCACTGATAAATTCATTTCCAATAGAAGAAAAACACCTTCTGCCTTAGTCACTGATACTTCCAAGTTCGGAGTTAAGCACCTGAGGGTGAGGAGTGTGGGCTCTTTTATTTTGGGTTCACATTTAACATGCAGCTGCTGCAAAGGCATTTTAAGAACACGGAGGTGACTGAAAATAAACTCCTGCCAGCAGGTTACCCGACATTCTATTCACCCTCTGCCGAAGTGGAGTTCCCAGCTCCTGCTCTGCAGCCTGCCTTCCAAGCTTGAAATAAAACGACAATGCCACTTCAACTGGAGGTTGAATACCGTTTTCAATGACTTCGTGGTCATGCTCCTGAGACCGGGATGTGCATTACCTTAGGGAGAGGCAAAGCCAAGCTAAACTGTGCAGGCTGGCGTGGCTTTGCTGGTTTGATGCTGACTGAGAAACATGGCCTGTCGCTATGAAATGAAGGAAATTGTTTTACCCTCATCTCTAGGACTGCACAAGCAGCAGATAATAGGCAGTTGGCCCTCGACCTCGATTTAGGAGGGGCAGAGAGAGAGACAGCGAACAGAGGCTTTCAACCTGTGCCGTGAGCAGTGAGGAGGGTCCAGCAATAGCCTGGCTGATGCGCAGGCCTGACAGGGAAGGGGACTCCGTAGGAGGATCCCCAAATATGAGCCACTTGGGGTTCAGCTCTGGCAGGCTGCTCTGTGCTGGGGCAAGTTTGGGAAGAAAGGCGCACAGCTAGAGCAGAGTGGTTCCTTGCAACTGACCACTGACCTCCAGCCTCCATGCTTGCATTTCAAAGCCATCATAGAAATGTAACTTACTTTGAAGGCAAGGTTACACTCAAAGCAGACTGGCCTCTCAACAAAGGGACAATGACCAACTGCCTGATAAGAATCCTTCTAGGAGAGAGAGACACTATCTCTACCACAGGCATGAGCCACTATCTATCACAGGCATGGGGGCGGGGCAGAAAGGTAGGTAAGTAAAGTTTTTCTGCACAGGAAAGCCTTTGAAGAGTATAGATGTCTCACCTAATCCAAAACACTGCAAGAGTTTTGAAGTACTCCATTAAATTGAAGCAAAACTGTTTGCCACATAGAGTTGACTTGGTTTGAGGAGTTGCAGGGACTGAAATGGTTTCAGTTTCCAACTTTCTGAACTGAAAAGCATCAATATGATGACCATATTTTCTGAATCCAAAGTGGATTTAACATCGGATCGTCCCCTGAAATACAAGGGCATGTTATAATGGTCTAGAGAAGATCATGGATCTATTTGGAAGGGCAGGAAAAGTGGAAGATACCTTTGATTTGGGTGATTTCTGCCTTCTCCCATAAACTAAAGCAATTCAACTCTTCTTAGGGGCTCTGCCAGCAATATTGAGGCTGGAGGGAACAGAGGAGAGAGAGCACAACAGAAAATATAAAATTCCATCATCTCCATTCAAACATCAGCCTGGAGGTAGGAGAATGAATTAGGTGATTGGATATTTTTCTCCCAAACTCAGGATCTAGTGCCTCTGGGCTTTGGAAGGTAATAGAATTGAAAGTTCCAGAACCTGTCTGGTGCTTTGGCCAAAATTCCTAGCCATAAGCAATTGTATCAGGTGAGGACGGTGACTCTCATTCAGTGTATGGGGGAACACACCCACTTTGTTTTTCTTTTGCCAATCCAATCCTCCATCATGGATAATGCAGTGCTACCCAAGAGCAGCACAGCTCACCCAGGAAGATGGGCAGGGCCAACCTCCCAGTACCCAAGCGGGGCCTTGAAGTTTCCCATTTCACTGAGCTTGAAAAATCACCCACCACTCCTGCCTCCCTGGGTCATGTGCAGGCTGGGGATGATCGTAAAATAGACACAGCTCTGACCCACCTACAGTGGAAGAATTAATGACTCTTCATATATGGTACAGTGAGAATAAGCACCTAGAGGCCAGGTGCAGTGGCTCACACCTGTACTTCCAGCACTTTGGGAGGCCAAGGGGGGCAGATGAAGACAGAAGTTTGAGACCAGTCTGGCCAACACGGCGAAACCCCATCTCCACTAAAATTATAAAGATTAGGCAGGCATGGTGGCACACATCTGTGGTCCTAGCTACTTGGGATGCTGAGACATGAGAATCACTTGAAACCGGGAGGCAGATGTTGCAGTGAGCCAAGATCACGCCACTGTACTCCAGCCTGGATGACAGAGTGAGACTGTTTTTTTTTAAAAAAAAAAAAAAAAAAAAAAAAAGGAAAAATGAAGCTCCTAGAGAGTGAAAGGAGCTTGTGGGAACCACGTTCAGTCCTCTCCAGGGACAGCCTTGACCACCAGCCTGCGTTCTACTTTCTGGATAGTAAACAGGTCCTTATCAGTCTCCTTTATTTCCTTTATGTTGCTTGAGTTATCGCTGGTACCTCGAAAACAAGTGGGTCAAGGGAAGGAGTAAACACTGAAATCTCCTCCATCCTGCATGGTCTTCTTTTTTTTTTTTTTTTTGAGACAGAGTTTCACTCTTGTTGTCCAGGCTGGAGTGCAATAGCGTAATCTCAGCTCACCACAACCTCTGCCGCCCGGGTTCAAGCAATTCCCTGCCTCAGTCTCCCGAGTAGCAGGGATTACAGGCTTGCGCCACCAGGCCCGACTAATTTTGTGTTTTTAATAGAGATGAGGTTTCTCCATGTTTGTCAGGCTGGGTCTCGAACTCCCAACCTCAGGTGATCCACCTGCCTTGGCCTCCCAAAGTGCTGGGATTACAGGTGTGGGCCACCGTGCCTGGCCAGTCCCACATGCTCTTAAATGTTGAGAGGGAGAAGCTAAAACAAATGCCTGGAATAAGGTTTTAAACTAAACTGTGGACTCCTCAGCCAGCGCATGTATTCACTGGCCAGTGCAGGCCTCAGAGCACCTGCACCACCGTCCCCTATCCTGGGGGTGGTTTGGACTGTGGGTGTCATCAGCACAAATGGGCGACGTGTCCTAGGGTGACTTCCTAGACTAGCTGTAGACTGCCCATGGAGTAAATCTCTCAGGGCACTGACGGAAAACAAGAATCTAATGGGGACCACAAACTGTAGGAAAAGTACCACCAAGGGCACAGAGAACAAAATACAAATATAGTTTTTCTTCTATTTAGAGAATTTAAAAGCTCCATTTACCCAGTTTATAAGAACTGTAAGCATAAGAAACTACTAAACCATAGGAAGTGCTAAATATAGGATTAAAAGATTTAGGAGGCTGGCGGAGAAAAGAAGGGAAGCATCAAAAAGCACAAATCATAATGGAAAGGACCCAGGAGGCCACTGTACAGTGAGACCAGAGGGAGGTGACTTGCCCCGATTGACGAATGGAGCAGAGCTGGGTCAAGCGCCCGGGGGGGGATGTGCTGTGCACTCCGGTGTCACTGCTTCTCTGGAGGGAGGCCGGAGAGGCTGAGAAAAGTGTAAACACACAGAGGAGGTGAAAGGAGGGGATGAAGATGGCAGAGAAGGGAGGAGGAAGCAGAGACAGAGAAAACTTGGGAGAGGGAGACAGGAGAGAGCAGTGAGGGTATGAATGAGTAGTATCAACTCATTCACTCACATTAGCTTTGCAAGAGGATTAACTCTAAACTATTTTCCAACTCGGTTTGAATCACAAGTTACTGCGGCCCTTCCAATTGTTCAATTGCTAATTCTTTAAAAAACTCATTTCCAGAATACCATATAGCATTATTAACCATAGTCAGCATGTGTACAATAGATCTCTTGACCTATTCCTCCTGATCTGAGATTTTGTTGCTTTCATTCTTAAATCTAGAAAGGGTCAGGTCCTACAGCTCACTAAAATGTGGGTTTCTGGCAAAAGCAATGATACCTGCAGGCTGGAATACAGGAAGAACCACGTTTTCCATTTCTCAGCCCCAGAAGTCAAGGATATGTGACTACCTGTTCAGTTCTAAGCCAAATACTGCTAAAAACTGTTGCAGGGAGGCGTCTTGTGGGTTGACCAGCTGGCCACAGGCGTCTGGCTTTTAGCAGTCCACATTTGCTGCTAATCATGATTAGTCAATACTTTTCTCAACTACTGCATGCTGGCCAGTATTCTGTAATGTTATTGACTTCTCAAAGAGGACTCTGTGCTGATTCAACCCAGTTATCGTCCAGAAGTCCATCAAACATTTGTTTAGTGTGATAACCTCTGACCAGCTTTCAAGACCCTTTATTCTTCTTGGCTCCGTGAGCTAAACTACTGTGGTTCAAAGTGTGTTCTACTTAACGGGGAAACTGACTGATTGGAATGTATCACTCCACAGCCTCATATAAATCACAACATTCTTCCCAAGCAGCAGTCTGGAAAGTTACTGTGACCGGGCAGAGCTGTGATGCCATCAGCAGGGAACTCTCCAAGGATGCAGAGAAAGGCATCCTTTCATCCTTTATTTCCCCAAAGCGCTGGCTTTTCTCTTGCACCTACCATGTTTATCAGAATGATAAATTAATAAGCAATGCAGGGAGAGACGGCCTGATGAACCAACCCCCGTTCCCCTGGATTTCGCCCACTTTAGACGCCTGACTCTACCGTGCTGCGTTTCCCTGCCAGAGGCAAGACTGGCAGCCTGGGATGTGCCAAGTGCTTGGCTCTAAACTGCAAAACAAAACAGTAAAGGAGGGAATTTGTGAGTTAGCTGATTTGCAAACACCAGAGCAAGTCGCCATGTAAACATTTGTTTTTGTGTCTCTTGGGTTTTTCCATTTCTCTCAGGCAGCTACCTGGATGCCACCCTGATGGCATCAAAACGTGCTGCTCGTCAAGTTACTGGTGAACCCTTATTCACACTTAAAAAAAATCAGCTTCTTTCATGCCATTAAAAAGAAACCTAAAAGCCCCCACAAAACAAAGAAACAAAAAAACCCAAACAAAAAACCTTCATGAACCAGTCATCACAGAGCATGTTAGTAAATACAGCAGGAGAGTCTCCAGTGTTGCTCAGAATCAACATTAGGCCAACAGGTATGTCCCCACGTGTCCATGAACGTGTCACTTGGAGGGAGCCATCACCTGGGGACCTGAATGAATGAGCAGCCGCAGGCACACTCACACAGGATGGCTGAGACTGGCCCATCATAGGTGCAACCCGACTTTAAATAAAAGGTACCTGGGAGTATGTTCTATGCCCCCAGCTCCAAATGCCAGTTTACTGAATCATCACACAAACCAGCATTTACTGGGTCTGACCAAACGTATGTGGTGAGTAAGCATTTGGACTCTTCACCGTAAGCCTAAAAGTTAGTTTTTCCATTTACCCCCATTTTGCAGTTGAAGAAGTATGCGGTGAATTCCACAGCACAGCCAGAATCTGAACACTGATTAAGAATACAGAACCTGTAATACGCTTGCTTGGTAACAAAATAAAATAAAAATCCTGCATGACAAAAGACACTTAAAGGGTATCACAGAGCACTGCTACTTTCCTGCTGCTTCCCCAAAGCACCTTCCCATTTAGCTTCAGTGTGGCTACTTATTTCCAACTCATTCAACTCCTGGTAAAAAAGGGAGAGTTATAATCAGGAAGTCCTGATAAATTGGAAAGAGGAAAAAAACCTAATTTTCTCTAAACGTTTTGTAGTATTACGGGGTCAGAAGGTCCCAACCAATGTTATCTAATCTAGTTCTTGCCCCAGGCAGGATGACTTAAGTCATCCCAAAGAAAGGAAGGTTAATACCATTTGTAAAGATCTTCCCGAATTCTACCTACCTGAGAGGTGAGTTACAAGGATCACTTGCCTGTTGGAGGCTCTGCGAAATGCTCTGGAGCCTTTGAGAGGAAAGGCACAGCACAAATGCAAATTATTAACAATAAAAATCAGCTCAATTCCCATAAACATAGCCATGTAACCCAGCCAAAGGAATGTGTGAGGCGTGGAGCTACAATGCGAGTCTTTGTCAGAAAATATATTTATTATGGATAGTGAGTGAAGTAAAGATGTCAGTATTCACTACCGAGGTTATATCAGCCAAGGTTGCCTTCATATTGATAAAAATACCTTATCTCACTTGTAATCATAAACATTATTCCAGTAAAAGAGGTACATTTTCGCTCCTTTTTGCCTTCTTGCCTGTATGATCGCCATAGTAAGTTAAAATGAAATTGCTCTTATATAAGCAAAGAAGAAAAGAAAGAGAGACAAAACCAACATCCCGCAGCCTAGACAATTCCACCCCGCACTGCTGCCCCAAGAGCGATGTTTTCTGACTCTCTCCTCACCCCACTCCAGTTCATTTAGCCCCCCAATACATCCCACTTTGTTAGGGTGGAGCTTCACCAAATGATGGGGCTCCCTCAGAAGAGAAACATTTTATAGTCAGTGGAAGTTGAACAGAAAGTACCAAAAGGTGGAGAAGGCTGCCCTTCTCTTTCAATCGTCATAAGAGGGTTTACTAATACTGAGGGGTGTCCTTTAATGACTGACGCCTGGTCAAGGCTTTGGCCCTTCAAATTGCCACTGTTCAAAATGTGAAATGATTCTGTTGAATCCATTCTCTGGTGTCTCTCTTTAGTGGTCTTCTCATTAGTGGTCTTCTCTTCAAATGGGTTGTTTGCTTACTAGGAAAAAAAATGTTCCATCTCTGGAATTAACGTTGATGGTGTTTGCTTGTTCTGAGTTGTTATCCTCCCTTCTCAAGCATGCTCTGTAAGAGAAACAGAGAGAGTAAGTTTTACCACCAGGAGAGGGCAGAAAACAAATGGCAGTAACTATTTAGTACGATTTGTATTGCTTTTCAAATATCTAACTTTTAAAACACATAAAAGAAGGCATATGCTTCCTGTTCTCAAAATATTGCTCCTTTGACCAACACCATTGCTTTATCAGATATGATCTTTAAATGATCCCTCTCACCACCATACAGGTTGAAAATCCCAATAAGGCTGGGCGTGGTGGCTCACACCTGTAATCCCAGCACTTTGGGAGGCCAAGGTGGGTGGATCAGTTGAGCCCAGGAGCTTGAAACCAGCCTGGGCAACACAGTGAAACCCCATCTCTACCAAAAATACGAACATTAGCTGGGCATGCTGGTGTGTGCCTGCAGTCTCAGTTACTCGAGAGGCTGAGGTGGGAGGATCCCTTGAGCCTAGGAGGCAGAGGTTGCAGCAAGCCATGAGCTGGGTATGTGGATGGCTGGAAGGAGGCAGGCGGGAACGGATGAACTAGAGGCGACCTCGGCCTCACCTTGCCTCTCTGAATGGTTGCAGAGCTAGACGGGGGAGTATCACTTTTTTCTTCTTAAAGACCTCTAAAAGTGGGCTGGGCACGGTGGCTCATGCCTGTAATCCCAGCATTTTGGGAGGCCAGGGAGGGCGGATCACCTGAGGTTAGGAGTTCAAGACCAACATGGCCAAGACGGTAAAAGCCCATCTCTACTAAAAATACAAAAATTAGCCATGTGTGGTGGTGGGTGCCTGTAATCCCAGCTACTCGGGAGACTGAGGCAGAGAACTGCTTGAGCCTGGGAGGTGGAGGTTGCAGTGAGCCGAGATTGCGCCACTGCACCCTAGCCTGGGCAACAGAGTAAGACTCTGTCTCATGTAGAAAGCAAAAGTGCTCCTGGTAGGGGCATTTGGAAATGTTGGGATTACGGCTGGTAGATGCAGTGATTGGGGGAAAGCTATGGCCAAGGCAGGGTGGGGACCAAACCCCAACTCCAAAGGCTCTGAGAGGGAATCTCTTCATTAAAGAGAAACATAAGATTCCCTCCCGGAGAGGGAGAACACAGATGTTCATGTGCTCATGAGGCTGGACAGAGCTACACAGATAAGTACCTATTCCCAGATTGTCCCAGATTGCAGAAATGGTCCCTACATTCTATTTAGTTATTTATTTGGGGGATGTGGAGGTAGACAGCAAGAATTCTAAACTACCAGATGAAAACTATATAACCAGCTGAAATCGAGGTATGCTGACTCCTTTTTTTTTTTTTAGATGGAGTCTCGCTCTGTCACCAAAGCAGGAGTGCAGTGGCACGATCTCAGTTCACTGCAACCTCCGCCTCCCAGGCTCAACCAGTTCTCTGCCTCAGTCTCCCAAGTAGCTGGGATTACAGGCACCCACCACCACTCATGGCTAATTTTTGTATTTTTAGTAGAGATGGGCTTTTACCATCTTGGCCAGGTTGGTTTTGAACTCCTAACCTCAGGTGATCCACCCGCCTCAGCCTCCCAAAATGCTGGGATTACAGGCATGAGCCACCGTACCCAGCCCACTTTTAGAGGTCTTTAAGAAGAAAAAAGTGATACTCTCCTGTCTAGATTTGCAATCATTCAGAGAGGCAAGGTGAGGCCGAGGTTGCCTCTAGGTCATCCGTTCCCGCCTGCCTCCCACCAGCCCTCACCTTCCAGCCATCCACATACCCAGTTCTCCATTGAGCTCCCACCAGGCACTGCTGCACTTGGTTACCTGCTATGGGGAAACTAATACATACACCCGTGGAAAATTCAGGACTAATAAAAGGTAACAATTTGCTAATTTTTATTTATTTGCTAAATACATGCTAACATTTATTTTATTGTGTAAACAATGTAATATTTAATAGGAACAAAACAGTATCTGATAGAAAGTAATTTTTTCCATTTCCCAGTTTCTGTGTCCCCTTCCAGAGATGGTGACAGCTCACAAGAGGAACGGTTCTGCCTGGTGCAGAGAGCAAGCCTGTAGCTGGAGCGAGCAGGGAAGGCTTCTCCAAGGACCTTCCACCATGGATCGAATACAGGTGGAGGACTAGGGTGGGACTGGGAGGAATGAGGGGAGAGAGAAAGCGGTGGCCAGGATTCAGAGGGTGGGGGCAAGCGCAGCACATATGGAATCCTGAAGGGAGAGGCCTCACTGGAAGAAATGACACGCTCAGAATTGCTCAAGAGAAAGGGTGGAAGGAGGGCCCAGGACAGTCGCCAGGCTGAACATGCCTGGGGACATGTCCTAGCCACAGAAAACAAGGAGGAATGGTTTTAAAGAGGAGAACGGCATGTAGGAAGGTTAACCCGACATCCTTGGCATGATGAATCCAACAGAGGGGAGTCTGCAGGCAGGAAGGCCAAGGAAGAGGCAGGTTAGAAACCAGACAAGGGTGGAGACAAGAACTAGAGCTACATGGGAAGAAAAAGGGAGACGGTGACACCTGAGGTATGGGAGGATCCTCGGTGGCAAGGACAGTGATGGGGTCACCAAGAGAAAAGGAGAAATCCATGGGAGCTTGGGAAGAAGGATGACTTAAAGTGTGGGTTTGAGAGACAATTTTGGGTGAGACAGCCCAAATGGAAATGTCTAGAAGGAAGTTGCAGGCCTTCTGAGATCAAAGGTCTCTGGACACAAAGATTTAGGGTCAAAAATTTAAAAATAATTGAAATGAAGGGGACAGAACAAAAAGAGTAGAAGTCAAACAAGATGGTTTCTTGGGTCTTAGGAGCAAAGGGTGGCTAGATTATCCTAAAGTGTCCATCATTGTAAGTTTCTGTAGAAGTCTGTGGAATAGGTTCTATAAATTCCAGATATATAGGTTTCTAAGAAGCCCTACGGATATCCATAGGGTACAAAAGAACAGATATAAAGGCAGGCCAACTTAGACATAACACACAGAGAGTGGTCAGAAAAACAATGATTCTGTCACACAGAAAGTAAATTAGAAAAGCTAGATGCCTTTAGATAAAACAGAAAAAACAAAGTAGGTGCAGAGGAAGACTCTGCTCAGCAGAGAGTGGTCCTGTGAGAACTCACACTGGAATGTGGGGCATAAGCTCCATGTTCGTTGGGAAAATAACACCCTGAGCACCCACCACGTAAGAGGCACTACCTGGCAGTCACAGCACCTCAGCTGTGCTCACCCACTAGTGAATTGATCTGTGTGAGTCTCTCCAATTACATGGATGATACGTTCTATAAGTTCCAGATATATAGACAACCTCATTACATCATGCTTTATTAAACACAAAACAGAAGTCAGTACAAACCAGATCTATACTGAACCTATCTAAGGAAATCCAGTTACTGAAGAAAGTGATCTCTTTATAAATGATGCCACTTTGGAATTTGCATTTTGGAGGGTTATGGATTCACTGCTTTCTTCAACACACTGATGGGAGTGAGCTGTCATCTGCCTGGCCAAGATTACAGTCATGCCCCGCTCTACAATTTTGGTCTTAGGTTTATAAGGATAACCACATAACAATGCATCTCCTTTCAAATATTGCAAAATAATCTGCAGCCACCAAAACTTAATGAAAGCAGCAGTTAGAGTGTTTTTCGAAAGTCTAGAGATTGTTTCCACTAATCACCTTGCAAACTCAACCAAATACAGATGGGTAATTTTCCAGCCAAATCATATCACGCTAAGAATGTTAGACTCTCTTTCAGAAGGACAGACAGGATGGGGCCTGGCTGGTCTGAGGATAAGCAGCCCAGTTTCACATAAAGACACCCAAGGAAATAACATTTTAATAACCCCTTTAACCACATTCACAAAATACCCTGTTACACGTATTACAATTCTAATCCTCAAAGATAGCACAGTGGTTCAGCTGATTCATGGCGACTCCTTGAGGACACGTGGGACCACAGGAAAGTGCCAGGGCTGATCTATAAACGTTTTGTCAAACTGCACTCACTTGCTACCAAAGGGTGGCAGAGGTGGTACAAAACCGTCTCAATTCTATCAGAGACATGAACAAACACAATGGCAGGTTGAATTTTTAAAAAGATAAATTCATCTGTCAAACATTCTGGGTTTTATTATCATATCCCAGATCTGCAATGAAACCTGCTCCGACTCAGACTGCAGGGCTTTTGGCTAGAGGGATCCGTAGGTCTGGTGAGGTCTGTGTTATTCAGCTTCCACCTTATAGGTTCTCCTACGGTCTCTGTATTGGTTCTGTAAGTAGCTGCTGTTGGGCTGAATTTCAACACTGCATAAATTTGACACTGCATAAATTAACACAGGAAATTCCCTAAAGAATGAGGGAAAAGCTTTGCAAGTTATAAAAAATTGCTTCCTTCATTTAAGGAACTGCTAACACTTAATGTGGAGAAAGAAATTCCTTGCTTTTGCTCATCATTTACGGATTTGGGCTTGCAGAAACTCCTTTTATAAACAGCTAGGTAAATCACCAAAAGGACAGTGTGGTTCAGGCATGAACACTGCTCTTTTCCCAAGTCTTTTTCTCGTTCCAGCCACTGAAGAACTGGCAGCTCACAAATAAGAACAGCGCCCCTGGAGGCCTGAGATTGCATGTCACTTCCGCTTATTAAAAAACGATCCTAACCACTTGCCTCAAATATTTTTGTTATGTAATCTCATCAACTGATTTTTGAATCACGGCTGTCTTGGAGGGGTTGACTATCATAGCAGCGTGCCAGATGCTGGCTGTGTGGATAATTTAAGAGAAATGAGGGCAATCCTGGGTTGCTAACCAATCATCATGAAGAGAATAAAAGCGGTTTGTTTTTTTTAAGATACCATTGAGTGCTTGTCTCCGGATGAGCTTACCCAGCACCTCACCAAGACTTCAGGCCTCACAAAGCTGGGGAGAGAAGCAGGAAGGTTTACTTAAACGTGGAAAAATGAAAGTGGAGATGTGTCCTGGTACAGACCTGGTATCAAGACATGAGTTTTACTAAGGAGGGTCAGGAAAAGTGGGGAGTGGG